TCAATGTGTTTTTTCCTGCAATGTGTTATTTATTTTAAACTTTAAATCATTTTATGAGCTCGTTTTTTAAAATAAAAATCTGGTTTTACCGGAGATGTATGCCGTACAATTTTTCCCTAAACCTTCAAACTTAATATAATTTATATTAAATTTTTCATATATTTTTATATATATTTTAAATGACTCAAAGGTTAAGAGAAAAATTGTCTACCATTCATAAGATAGGTATTCCAAACATGATAGGATATATTTCCGGTAAAATCCGATTTTTAAATTTAATAAAACGCGCTCAAAAAATGATTTAAAGTTGTAAAAATAACAGATTGCCGGAGAAAACACATTGACGCTAACATACATTTTTTAAGAAAATGAATAAAATATAGATTCTAATCCTGCTGAGTTAATTTTTATTAAGCTGTTATCTTTGTATCTGTAACAAAGAAGGCTTTGCTAATTTTCTTAATCCCATTTAAAAATAGATGGGTAGCACGTAGATAGAAATAATATTTATATGCTTTTAGATGAAGCCCTCTTAACTCAAAAAGAAATGAGATAATGATGGACAAGGCAAATTCTCTATTCTGTTGAGGAAGACGATTATTTTACCTTTGAAAATTGTAAAAAATGTTAATAATGCTTCAGAAGTATTGATGAGCGTAAAGATATTAGTAATAATCTCTTTTTCAAAAACACTTGTGGAGTCCTTTTAAGAATCAGGAGCGCTGCTCTGCAGATCTTTTAATTTAATGTATAAATTAAATTATTTTTTAATATTAATAAATCTATTTATTTGTTAATTATTCAATAAAAATGAAATTTTATTTTATTTAAATTTAAGCAATATTAAATGTTGAGCCGAGTTTTATATTGGTTTTTCATCTTATCACTTAAAATATTAACATCAAATTTTTCTTTCTTTTTATATTGAAAATTTCTTGGAAAATCTTGTAAGTCATATTAGATTTTATAATATATGATAAAAAATAGTTTTTGATATTATGGATCCGGACATCATAGAAGAGGAAATTGAAATAAAAAATAAATGATCTATTTAAATAACTTTATTATAGATTTTCAAATGTTTATAATGATGAAAATATCATTGCGGCTATTATCCATCCAGCATTCAAATTAAATTGGGAATGGATAAAAAATGCACAAATTATGGAACTAAAATACAAATTTAAAATTTTCATTATAATAAATTTTAATATATTTAAAAATGTTTGAAAAATATATAATAATACTATTTAAAAAAAAGAACGGAGATGGTGTGACGCAGGGAAACAAAAATGAAAAAGGAACGTAAGCGTTGTCTATGATAGCTCTTTGGCTAGAAGGCTACCATTGAAACTGATATAATTAGCTTTGTGAATCGCTATGGATAATCGTTGACGAAGAAAAAAACCCTCTCGAGGTTCTTCTGAGAGTTTGCTGATTTGTGATCCTAAGTTTTTGAAAAATGCTAAGGCGAGTTTGCCGAAGGTGCCAAGAGTGGTTGATATGATTGGGATGAAGCAATGATCGTTTATTATTTCTGTGTATTTAGAAATTTTAAGTTGTTCCTTCTGGTCAAGGATGTTGATGGCGTGGTTGGATGGGGCCAAGGGGTCAATACAGGAATAGTCCCATACCAAAAGTTGGCCTCTCCTCCATGGGATTTGAGAGATCCCATCAGGACGTTTACCATCAGATCTAAAAAGACCCTGTGGTTCTAACGTGGAAGGAATTTGGGCGGATTTCAGAGCTTGTTGGATGATTGTATTACATTGCTTGTGTCTGATGAATCGTCCATTGCAGGAGCGACAATGTAAACTATGTCTACCCTTCGAGTCAACTGGCGAGTTGCACCCTGAGCAGATGTGGGGGTGAGTGATGGAACAATTTAGACGAATGCCGATGGCATGGGTAAATTCATTGTTGGATAGTTGAAGCTGAAGATTGGTAGATGGGATGGCCTCAAGAAACTCATGTCCCGTACCATTGAGCAAGGAAGAGAATAGGGTGCGGTCGGTAGATTGCATGCTAGATAAGAGAGTTTCAACGCAGCGAGCAACCACTGGTGCATCCCAGTCTTTCTGTTTATGGGTTGTGGGGGGATGAGAATCAGCATTGATCCTTGTTTTCCAAATATCCATAGCCACGATTAAGGAAAGGTCTTCTTTAGAATTATGGGCGGTGGTTATTGGCTTTGTCAAGAGACTACTCGATATGAAAGTAGTTATTGCTAAGTCAAGTGGAGATCTGATGCCGAGACCACCAAATTTGGTTGGAAGAGTTGCTTGGGCCCAAGCGGTTTCGTTGAATCTGATATTTACTATTTTTTCGGTTAAGTCCTTTATTCCTTTTTCGTAAGTTTGGAGAGGAATAGGATATTTAAAAATTGGTGTTGACCGAAGTGCGTAAAGAATCCTTGGTATAAAAAAGAAATTTTTTAGCAAAAAAAAGGACTTGTGTGATGGAAGAAGTGTAAAGATGTCCTCCAGTTTAAGGAGTATGTCAAGTGTGGAATGAAGAAAGGTGCTTATTGCCTCGTGTCCTCCAACAGGCGATCCTAGATGTGTTAATTCAACGCTTGATGTGAATTTGAAATCGTGAGTGTTGGGAGCATTGGAATTTAAAAGTGAGAATTCAGATTTGCTCTGGTTAAGCGAAAGTCCAATGGCTGTGCCCATTTCTTTAATTATGGTGACTGCTTTGGCAATTTCACTACTGGGACCACTCAAGATTCCATCATCAATATACCAAGCGTGGAGCGATAGAGTACATGAAGAGTTTATTGATTTTATCATGTCATTGATTCCAAGACTAAAGAGAAGGGATCCGAGAGGGTCACCTTGTTGGATACCCTCGACAGAAAGTATCTTTTCTTTGTTGAATTGTAAGATTGTTGGTGATTGGTAGCAAGAGAAAAGAAATTTGGTATAAGCGGGGAAATGGAAGCAAGTTGAATGTAGGAACGTGTTGCGCGAAAGAGTGTTGTAGGCGTTAGAGAAGTCAATTTTTACTAGGGATTCGTTTTTTGGGTTATTTTCAAGGTGAATTCTTGTTAAGTGCACAGCGGCTTCACACCCACCAGGTATCCCTACACCAAGTTGATAGGGGCTTAGAATGTGTGCGGCATCGTGTTTGATTCTAGATGCGATTAATTTAGCGACCAATCTACGGTAAGTTGAACCAATGGCGATGGGCCGAATGTCCTTGTTTGGTTTTTGGAGTGCGATGAGTCTGGCACCGAATAGTAAGGGGGTAATAAAGCTGGGTACGTCTCCATTTAGGATTTTGTTGACTAAGTTTGTGATTTTAGTGAGAATTGAAACCTGTGTACAGATCACAGGAGAGGTAATGTCCTGTAAAAAAATTGGTCTAATCCCATCTAGACCATGAGCCGAATCCCGATGAAAAGATAGGATTGCTTTCCTTACTTCTTCCTGTGTGAAATCTGCTGCACAATGGGAGAAGGGTTGGGGCAATATTGGCATAAATTTTTTAACAAAACAAATTCCTGATGCGAAAATAGCTACTAGTTCATGGGAACCCTGCAATGATTTGGAAGATTTTTTTGGATTCCATGAAATTGATCATGAGGAAGATAATATAATAGACAAATATTTTTAAAAAAATGATATCAAAATTACTATTTTTGATAAATTTCCTGATACAAAAAATATTTTTATAAAATACAATACCCCATTTCCTCTAGTGCTCCTGTTTAGTATTGCAACAGGTTTTAGGGGAGAGGCTTGTATGTTTGTTACATTCAAATTTAGAAAATTTATTACTTTTAAAAGCTAATATAAGATTATAAATATTTTGATATATCATTTAAGATATATAAAACTTTTTTGATAAAAAAAATATCATTTTGTTTCGCGTACAAATCTAAAAAAAATGAAAATCAAAGGAGCGGCTATGGAGTGACACTCCATTACTTAAAGCGGGAGCTAGCTCCTTTTAAAAATTTAGTAGCGGGTGCTAGTTCTTTTTGAAAAGGTAGGAGCGGGAGGTAGCTACTTTAAAAAAGGAGCGATAACAATCTGATATTTTGCTATCTTCTGCTCCCTAGAAAGTTTCGCATATATTAAATAATATTTTATTTGAAAATTTTATATAAAAAAAGTAATCATCTTAATAAATAATTATACAGTATCCATTTTCCCTATATTTTCATGTGATTTATTTGAAATTTTGTTTTTGCTTCATTTTATTAAATATTGTTAAAACAATAATATTGTGTCTGCAATATAATTCATTTTATTGTTCAATTATGCTCAAATTTATGTTTTATAATGCTCTGTAAATGCAATTATAAAATAATTAATGTGATATGCTGCTGTAATAAATATATTTATGTTTGTATTCCTGAAGATGAAATAAATAACTGAAAAATTCTCGATAAACTTATATTATTTACATAATTATTGAATTTATAAATGATCAATAAATCATTAAAGTAAAAGGATTGATAGTGGTTATGTTTTTTTGTTAAAAATTTGCCTAAATCTGTATTTCCTGTATTAACTTTAATAAATCTCCCAAGCTATAATAGATCTAAAGTTTACGTTCATATACAGAATAAAACTATTCCTCACCAATAAAAGTTAATTTTTGTTTGATGTATTTAAAGTTTGGAACTTATTTAAAAAGAATGGTTTTGGTTCATAAAATTTTGAAAAGTGAGCTGGGGTTCCGGGGCTTGAACTTGGTGGGTTTATTGGGTTCCAGATTTTGGTTTCAAATCTTGATGTATCGAACATCTAATGGATTGGATCAAAAAATGGATTGTATATGGTGTATCATTTTGAAGAATCTTAGAAAAGTCTGATAAAATTGAGATTTTACATTTAAAAGGTGTAGCTTTTATAGCCCGTTTAACTTTTTTTTTAAAAAAGTGTTCTAAAAAGTAGTTAAGAACATTTGATTTTATTAAAGCCACTTTAATACTATATATTCAATTATGATAATCAATATTTATTAATATTAAAAAATACAAAATTCAGGATGACAACTATCTTTGAAGGAAATATCTTCAATGAAAATACAAAGAATGTTGAAACATCGCATATCTCTTTATTTAACAATCTCACGACTATTTAATATAATAAAATGTATAAACAAGTATAATAATCATTTAAATATATTAAATTAATTGAAATATTCTATTAAATCCTATTTAATTTTTATCAATGTGTATAAATTATATAAAATCGAAAAATAATAAAATGGTATTTTAATTTATGAAATTCCTATATGGTTCTGGTTCTATCACAACATTATATAAAAATAGAGGAGGGTAACATTAGAAATAAAATTTCTTAAAAAAATCAATTTGGAATATGACTTGTTTTGTAAAATACATATATCTCATTTTGCATGATTTTTCATAATAAATCGTCATTGGTGATGATCGTCAGGAATCTTGGGAAGAGAAAGGGGGAAAGTTTCCGTCTGAAGCTTAATCTGACGTGATGATTGGGGTAGTTCCACAATACTTCGATATTCTGACCTTCCACTTATATTGACATTTGGTTGTAGGGTAGTATATCTAGTACGCACATAACTTTTGTCCGAAATAATGTGAGGATTCGTTATAAAAGAAGCGATTGAGGGTGGTGGTTGACATGGAATAGGATCCAAACTAATAGTTTTAGTAGTAACAGGCTGACCTTGTTTATCCCGTATAGTCACAGATAATGTAACAACGGTTAGTTTATCTCGCTCGCTACGCTTTTCTAATTCAATCTGAGACATTGTTTTATGAGTTTCTCGTTCACGTCTCACATCCGTCTCATATAATTTTTGTCTTTCTATGAGCGATTCGTAGTTGTAATGGGGGCTTGTATATTCTTTATATGATTTACCTTCCTTCTCGTCTGTTAACAGAGTTCTATCATCCTTGATATTGTATTCATGATTTAAAATAGCATTCGGTCTTAATGGTACCTGGTATGTAGTGACACTCTCAGGATGATCATCATATCCAAAAGATGTAACTTTAATATTGCTGAATTTTGGGTGTATGCTGCTAACATTGCAATCTGTCGGTTTAATATGTTTTGTGCAATCAGGTTGAATAATTTGGATATTATCCAAGATGTCGTTTCCTGATTCTGAAATAATTTTAGTTGTCGAGGTATATTTATTCATCTTTGGATCATCCGGTTTAGCACCATTATTATTTGGGTAATAAGCATCATAGAATTTTATATAATGATCATTTTTATCGTTGATTTCATTCGATGATAAGATGTTCATTTGATTGTTACGAGCATCAAGAATAGGTATTTTTTTTAATCCTACATTTTTGAATATGGGCGTAATTTTAAAAAAAATTAAGCTGCTGATATTTTTAAAATTCACATTATCATGAATCCCTTCATTATTATTATTGATCGCTTTTTCATCAGAATCATTGTGTGTGATAAATAATTTATTTACGGGTAAAAGATGTTTTTGTGTTAAGGTTGGTGAAGTGTTATTAATATAAACGTCATAGTTATTATATTTGTTTTCCAAGTCCGAAGAATTCTTCAAATTTTTCATAGTCGGTTGTGTAGTATCAGAAAGTGAATCCGTTGAATAGAATGAATGAGATGGTGGAAAGTTATTAACAGGGTGTGCCACACCATTTAACCTACCCCTTCCTAAATTTTCTTTCCCCTTCCTTACCAACCCCTCCCCTTTCACTTGATAATTTTTTATTGTATTATTGTCATTATATCCCGTCAATATTACATGGCTATTATTTTTATCATTCTTCCCCGACGCCTTATAGGCGCTATTGAAATATGTATAAAAAAAAGGAAGATAAGTTTATAAAATTACTAAAATATTGAAATAAGTATATTGGTTGGCTCAAATAATTTTTAGATTTAAGTAGATTCTGTTTAAATAAAAGAAAAGTTCATTGCAACATATACTTTATTAATATTATTAATAGATTTGGTAAGATTAATAAAATAAAATTTTTTTAGTAAAAGCTTCAATTATATATATAAATTATTATAAATTCAAGTTAGAACGATAAATTTTTCTTAGCATTATTACGCCTATTAAATATTAACAGGTCTTGCTACGATTGTAAAGGTATTGTAAACATTCATGCTTTGATTTTTATTCTCATATATGTATATTATGCTAACAAGATTATTTTAAAAAGTATAATCAAGTTATTTCTAAAGCCAGAATTGAGGAAAAACTGACATTGGACATTAATAACAACGCAATTAAACTTGAAATAATAATTAAATTTTTCAAAATTACCTTAAATGTAACTTTCTTTATTAACTCGTGTACACTATAAATAAAATAATTCGCTAAATGTTGCCAAAAATGTAGATTGCATTATAAATGTGTCCAATTTTTTTTAAATATTATATATGCATATGATATATAGAAATTTACAATGGGTTTAATATCCTTCAATAATTTAAATCATATTAAAATAAAATAAATGGCTATTTAACAAAATAAAAGAATCAATCCAATTGATTAAAAATTCTTAAATTTTCTTACCCTAACCTAATTTTCTATAATATTGTGTTTGTATAATATAAGTATATATAAATGAGATGGATGCGCATGACCAACCTTGTATCAGTAATAAGTTTTAATTATTTCATTTTGGTTTTATGTAATATATTTGTAATCATTATTTAAAAAAATGGATGGAGTAGCCTTATAAAATTCGATAAAATATTTATTAGTCAATCAAGCAGGCGCAATATCGTTAATTTTGTAGAGCAAATAAATATTTTGTTTTCATTAAAATAAAGCTGTTATGTATAAAAGGGGATTGATTTTTTATTCATAATTGATGTTATTTTGAATACGTTTTTTTAAAGATAAAGTCATGTTTTTAAAATATTAATGCAGTATTTATTTTTTTACATTGTAATTGTGTTAATAGTTTTGAAATACCCTTCTTATACATGAAGTAATGGCTTTACTTCATATTAATATTCTGCACCTGGGATTCAATGTGCTTTTGAATATTTTCAAAGGCATCGGCTCCCAAGTAATCAATTTTCCCACCCTCCCAGGCATCTTTCCGCTCCTTATCCGTCAAATTTTTGGTTGAATGAGAACCTTCCTCGTAGGTATGTGAGGCTGGCTTTGAACCTAAGATGCTTTTCTATTTAAATTATTGTAAAAAATTTAGTTTTGATATTTATTTTATTATATGATTTGGAATACAATGAAATATTAGCATCATCAATCAACTTATCAAGGCATTCATTAAAATATTAGAAATGTTAGTAAATTGTAATTCGTTTGCTATAAGATAAATATTAATAAGCTAAAATCATTCCTATTTAATATTTAATAAGTTGATTATTGTATGTTAAGAGGTTATGAATTGGTGTGTATAGTATATAATATTGCCAATAATCCTGCAAGTGAAACAAAATATATATATAGTTCATTTTTTGCTTTGAAATTTACAAAGAAACTTGTATGTGTATAACATGAGGATCGTAAATAGTGCGTAGGGTAGTAGTATAAGAATTTGTTCTCATAAGATAGTATAACATGTATAAAAATAGTTGATAGTTAAAAATTATTGTACTAAAGCGTTACAAATACATTATAACAGATATTGTGTTGGCAATTATTTTTAGATGTAGCATATTGTTAATATAACATTTTAATTACTTTAGACATCTCATACAAATCTTCTGTGTGACGTCTTTTGCGATTTTTAGTATTTTTTGAAAATAAATCTTCTTCTTCTTCTAACGACTTAGGAACTATCATCAAATTTTCAAGAGATTTAGCATCCCATTTCCTGTGTAAGTTGTAAGTCCTGTTCGGATTTAAACTCTTGTATATGGGATTAAATTTCTGGTAATATTTTGTATTCCAAGAATTTTCAAAGACTTTATCAAAAACATTCTTGCCCAATTGTTCAATAAAACTAAGGACAGAGCTAGGCATAATCCCTTCTCGAGGTGATGCCAATGATTTAGTTAGTAAAGTGGGAGGTACCGTTCTTAGGGCTAAATTTATAGTCTGATTAAGGGCATCTTTCGGTTTTAATGTTTTATTTAAACAATACCAAGCATGAACGGGCAATAACTTTTTAGAGACGTATCGCGAAAAGGAATCATCATAAATAAAATCGAAATTTTCACCTGAGTATTCAAAATAAGGATAACAAATTTTGTAATCGTCTCTGTTACCCGTAATAAATTTTGAGGCACTTGAATCTTGAAAAACTTGTTGGTGTATATGTTCATGACAGGAAGAGGGGGATGATGGTGGGGTTAGGTATGGTGGGATAGGTGGAAGGGGGGTTTGGTGTGGCAGCACCTTAATATACTTGCTATCCGGGAAATCATTAGTCTTTAAACTTTTAATTCTAGACGAATTAAAAGACGGTTCTGGTAAACTTTTAATAACCGGTCTCCGGGAATAATGAACATCATTATGAGAGCCAAGCATAACGGACCAAAACGTCGAGAGCGGAACATAATAAAGCTCCATCAAAAAATACTAGAAGAAGTATGGTAACAACATATTTTTAATATATTAAATTAACACAAATAGGATAGATAATAATATCTAGAGACAATTTAAAATAAGGTTAGTTAATAAATAGGTTAGTTTAATAATATCATTCCACGCTATAACAAAGACCCTGTCAGAATATAATGTGAGTTTTTTTAACACTCATTAAATTATTATTTATAAGCATGCAGCTAAAATCTTTAATTAAAAAAAAAATTAACTTTGTTTAAATATAATATAAAAAGTGGCATACGTATTTAGGGTCAAGCATGGAATGAATATTTTTCATGTAAATATCCCACCAAATTTGTAAATGTTCAGCTCGGTAAAGTCGCCCAGAAGTGCTAACTTGTCCTGTAGAATAATCGTATGAACAATTCCATGGTTTGATGGAACCCAGAAAATGAATAATTTTAACATCTTTCATAAACCTTAATTAATTTCGATAGAAAATTTGCTTTAAAGTAATTAGAACATTATATTGATTGAGAAATAATTAATTTTATTAAATAATATAAATATTTCAGAATATTAAATAAGGAACTATTCTCTGCTGATTAATAACAAAAATAACAAAAACTAGGGCTGTGCCGATATAAAATATTGGATCGGCACCGATATTTAGCGTTTTCCAAAAATATCGGAACCTGTAAAAACCCGATCCGATCTTTTTACTTTTCTTTTTTTGTTATTTTATTTTATTTTATTCTATGTTATGTATATTTATTTTACATTATTATAATATTCAATAAATTTTTTTAAACAATGCAATGCAGATGCACAACACCCTCTAAATTTAATTTTTTTTTTAAATAGATAATATTTTAAGTTTTTTTTATAAAAATAGTTTAAATCTTTTTAAATAATAACGCCAATTTTATTATTTATACTTTAAATAAAAAAATTTTTTTAAACATAGTATCTGAATTATGGAAATATTTTACAAAAGACAAAGATAATTTTGCAAAAGCGTTATCTACGGAATCATCTGAGTGTGCCTTCAGTACGGTAGGGAATAGAGATAGTCCACGTAGAAGCGTATTGCCAGAAAATTTAGAGGCTCTCATATTTATTAAAAAAATCTAATATATTATATTTTATATATTAAATATTACAATTTTATAATTCATACCAACATAATAATGGATATATTATTAAATATATATTTTTTTAATTAGTCTTAATTGTAGAAATAAAAAAATTAAATGCATAATTGGATTTTTTGCATAAAAAATATTGATTTCTTAAATACATTTTGTTCAAGGGGGGAGGGGTGGGGGGGGGGGTAAAAAATCAGTAGAAATATCGGATCGGTTATGCAATCGGAAAATATGGGATCGGATCGGTAAAAAATATGTGGATCGGCACAGCCCTATAAAAAACAGCTCCCATTTATGGTGATTCTAAATTGAGGGTTATATTCAGAGAATTTTGATTTTAAGTCATAGGTGTGTAAAAAAAACCAGGGTGGACCCAAACCGTGAAATCGAAATAAACTGTTATAATTTTTCGAACCGTAACACCTAACCGTTATAAAAAAATTTTAATGGAGGGAACAGACTGTTATAAATATTTTTTGGTTTATAATTTTTAAAAGTCATATTTTTATTAGACTATTTGGGGACAATTAAATATATATATGATGTTTTATTTTTTAAATCAGAAAATAATAAAAACTGGAAAGAAGAGATAAGAATAGATATGGATTTATAAATCTGAAGTAACTGATTTAAATTCGTTTAAAACTCAAACTATGAACCAAAATGGAACTAAGCATTTATATCTATCGGTATGAAATCCTAAAAAAAACATTATGCAAACGCTCAATCTGGAATAAGTGGTATTCTAATATCTATATAGATTGGAACATGTTGTTAGAACAGTAAATCAAATCTTCATTAAGATTGTTTTATAATTTAATTTATAATATAAGGAATTTTATATTTCATTAGATTTTATAACCTTTTATAGGCCGATAAATAGGAATATGTTGCACTAGATGCCATATTGTAAATAAAGGATAGATGTTTTGATATGTCTTTGGTAGCCCAAGATGAGAAAAACGCATTTAATAAACCTTGATCGCCTCCTATAATAAAAAAATTGATTTCAAATATTCTTAAGATATCTAAAATGTTTGTTATAAACGTATTACCTTAAATAAACATAATTTTTGAATAATAATGATTACCCATCCTTACTATCTTGATTCTGACCTTTTCTCTGCTATTTAAATATCACTAACCTGTATTAATTTGACCAAAACGTAACCTCCATACAGTAATCACTTAATGATGATAAGACTGGGGAAATATGCAAAAAAATATAACAAATATGACTTTTAAACTAAAAAATTATAAAAGTGCATTTTTTAAAAAAGAGCAAAAAGTAAAAAAAACAAATAAGAAAATCAATATTTAACACAAAAGATGTCATTTTCCTACCTACCCATTTTTATTAAAATAAGGTTTTATCCTTTAACTTTATTATTATAGTTAATAAAAAAAACCCAAAATAGTAATAACAAAAAAAACTAAGTCAATATTTAATAGCTCCTGATTTTTTTTTGGTCCCAAGTCTAAATGGAGGTTTTATAAAACTTTAAAAAAATAGGTCCGGTATTTTACTTCGGTCTGATCCGGTTTTTGATCTTGACTATATATCATCATGGATTTAATATAGAAAAATTCTAAAAATATGGTTTAGACCTGCAGATTGAATTAAAAAGTATTGCTCTTTTTTAGCGAAATCACCAAAATCAAATGGTCAAAAACTACTTTTGGGGAGTATTATTATAATAAAATAGAAGGGGAATAAACTCTCAATATATTAAATCAAAGCACTTCTTATTGAAAATAAAGTGTTAAATAAAAGAAAATAGGCCACTTAATATGAATCGAATGATAATCAATTTATAGTGATGTTACTCAAAAAAGTAACGTCGTTATAATTCGCGCTACCCTCCAAAAATAGTAATTTCACTATGTTTACGATACTTTTTATTAAAAAAAGTAATTTCGTTAGATTTTTTCCACGTAATTCTGTTACGTTACCATTTTTTAAATTACCAAAACAGTAAAATGAAAAAAGACTGAATAGATTGTTTTTTCAACAATCGATATATATATATATATTCACAAAATTCAAATAAATAAATAATTGGAAATAATCTTTTTTATATATTTTATGAGATTTCTATAAATATATCGATAATTTATTTTTCTAGCAATTTTAATGCTGATTGTTTTCCAAGCTTTTTATTTCTCAGCACCGCGTCTTTGAGCTGCTATCTTTTTAAGAAAAACCCCGAAAAAGTGAGTTTTCGGCTAAAAACTTGGCTAAAAATATAGTAATTACCCAATTATAGTATTCAAGTTATTTGTTAATAATTATGAACAATAAATTATTCGATTCGTATCGTTTTTGAATAGGTCTAGTGTTGAGGATGGCAAGAGTGTATTATATTTGATAAATAAGGTTTTAATGTTCAGAAATGGTCAAGGTTTTTTTTTCTAAAAGGAATTTATTTTCTCAAGAAGAGAAAAAGAGTTTATCATACATGTCAAAAAACATATCTTCATCACAAAAAAAACTTTTTTTCTTATTTTGGGACACTAATCTCTTCCGATATTTTATTTTTATCAATATTTTTCCTAAAAATGAAATCAAATACTGTTTATTTACTTATTTGGTCTTTAAAAAAAGTGGTGAAGATAATTCACATAATAATATCCCACTAATACTACTCTATTATCATTGAAAATCCAATAGACCAATAAATAATAGCTGAAAGAAGTTTTTTTATTAAATTTTTTAATAAAGATCAGATTAATTTTTTTAAGTAAAAAAAATATCTGAGTGGGACCGGGTTTATATTTTAAAACCGAATATTTTAAATCGCCAATATTAGCTTAAAAATTAAAATAAATATGGACCGGGTCGGGTCGTACAAATGGTACCTCTGCAGGTCTCTATTATAAAAAAAATTAGACCTTAAAATTAAACAATAATAAAACAAAGATAATTAAAATATATAGAATTAACTCATTTTTTTTTGGGGGGGGGGGGGTCATGGCTGGGAAGTAAAGATTTGCAAGAGTAGGCCTGGGCCGGCCCTAATATTTCTTAAAAAAATTAGGGTCGGGAGGGTTGGGCCTTAGAATTTTTTTTAAATATATCTAAATTTATCAATTTTATGTTTGATTTTTTATTTAAATATTCGATTTTATTTATAGAAACTAGACGCCATATAACATATATCTTTTATTTTGAGTAATTCTAAAAATTAATGTCTATATTTAAATAAATTCGGGCCTGGCTGGCAAAACTTTTAAAAAAAATTTCTGGCTGGGCCGGGCTTGAAAAATTAGGCCCGATGCAGATCACTACTGGGAAGTATAGCGAAATTTTACCTGTAAAATTCACAATTGATTTATTTCAACATTAATTGTGATCCAAAAAAAAATCAATATCATATCTGCTTTACTTTATTTTATTAAAATAAGCAATGTTCATAGTGAAAATAAAACTGATGAAATATTTTTTGAAGGATGATAAGGAAGATATAGATTCCAGTTATACAAGGTATTTTTTTATTAAGAAATTATGTGTTTATAGGATATTTTTATAAGAATATCTAAAAGTCTACATATCCTATTCAAGTCATTAAACCATATTAGAGAGAAATTTCTTAAAATATCTTCCAAAATCAATAATAAAGTAAAAACACAATGTTCTCAACTAAAAATAAAATAATAAATGGAGTGCTTTCATCCTCATTCGATTTTATAAACCATCTTAAATATAAAAAATTATCTCTTAATCTTACAACTGTATTAATTTTTGTTCTAATTGAATTAAATGCATGCCCTCATGGATAAAAATAGTACGATTAAGCACTAAGGCCGTGTCCTGGAACCACTTATTACTTAACAGCCGACTTTCTAGCTCTGACTAAACAGCCTAAAGAGTAAAACAAAAAATATAAAAAAAACAAAAAACTTTCAAAAAGGAAGAAAAAAATTGGAAAAAGGAAAAAACAAGAAAGAAAAATTCGAAAATAACAATGCCACCAAACACTTAAATCAAACCAAAATAGGGTATCCTATTCAAAAGCTGTCTAGTCTACAAAATTAAGTCGAACCAGGACACAGCCTACACATTGAAAAAATGGTTTCCGTTGCATTTTGATCGTAAAGTTGGCCAAAACATTTTGCTAATATTCTTTTCTTTTACATTGCCTATTGCTGATTAAAGTACTCATTGACACTAATAAAGGAGTAAATATTGGCATAGATTTTTGAATTACTGTTTCCAATTGTTCACTCAACTTTAACAGATATAATATAAAAAATATATTACACCTTTAAAAAATACAACCAAGAAAATAAAAATACCTAATGAAAATTTTCCATAGAAGGGATTAGGCCAAAGTCCAGGCAAGGGGGCTTGGGACTGAGGCCCAAAAAATTCGTTTGTAACCCACTCCCTAGATATATCCTGGCTATGCTACTGATAGTATAATAATGCAACAGGATTCATTTATTTAATAAAATTTTATAATTAATTAGTATAATTATTTGCAATTTAAAACCATTATTTCATTTCAATATAAGGCTGTTCTCACTATTGAGGATATTTTATATTACTTAATGTATAATTTTACTACATTATAACTTGGCTTAATTTTCCCTGTTAAAATTCATAAATTTAAGAATAGCTCTCAGTGGCGTAGGCACCCCCCCCCCCCCATTTTTCTTTTAATTTACGAAATTGATCATATAAATGCTTAAATTTTTTTAAAAAAACTATACTTATACTTTTAATTTATAAATAATTTTGATCTACAGTATTAGATTATTTTTTTAATAAATTTTAAATTATATTGCAAAAATTTGTTTAGTTTGTCATATTCCCTTTTTTAAAAAATCTATTTTATCAATTTCATTATAAAGAAACAACCATTAATTTTTACCTATATCAACAAATGTTAAACACAGATATGCCCCTAGTCCATAAGATTACCTTTTTATGCTACTATTAAATATAAAAGTATCAAAGCTGCCATACCAAGTCTTATAATTTAAAAGATGATAGGATTTTTTATATTGATGTAAAACTTTTTTTTAAATATTTCGTATTTTAACTGCTTTTGTGCTTCTAGAAAATTCGTTTTACAGGCGCGTACGCAGGAATTAAATTTTTTAAAATAAAATTATTGTTTTTTAAAAATATCAAGCATAAATTTATTAGGATTAATAACTATTTCCAATACACAATTTTAAATTAATGTGAAGTATAAAAAATTAAATATATAAACCGGCATATAAAAAACTATAAAATAATGACCCAAAAATAGAAATTTAAATTTTTTTAGACTTTAAAATTTATTTATAAAGTATAAAAAATTTAAACGTTGGAAATATAAATTATTATACAAGTTTCTTAAGAATAATTGTATTTTGTATATAATAACTTAAAAAGTATTCATGAAAAATATAAAACATATTAAAAAGCACAAAAAATATTATTAAGAAGCATATTATAAATTTATAATGCAAAATCCAATCTTCGTTGGTATTGGGTGTTAATTTTTCAATTATTTCATCCGTGCTTGGCGTCAAATGCCTATGAATATTCAAAAGGGCCAAACCATTCAATATACTGTCAGAAGTTGTACTTCTTAGGTATGCTTTTATTCTTCTTAAAGAAGAGAATGTTCTCTCATTAGTTGCAATAATAATGTAAGAGTTGCTAATATATATAATAATTTTAATATATTGGGAAAATAATCTTAAAGATGTTTGAAATGATGCAAAGCATCCAGCATTTTTTGGGAATATATCAACCATAGTTAATCTTTTATACCATAGTTGGCATTCAGATAATAAGGAATCATAAAATACTTATGAAAAAAATCTGCTATATTTTATTTTTTTTCTATTACCATCTGAAAAAGGTTAGAAGGCTTTTTTGGAAATAATATCTGCAGATTGCTAAGAGCTGCCTGATGAATTGTTCATTTATTTGGGTTATAAATGTATCTAAGAGAGGGATAAAGACATTTATTTTATAATACTCTTCTACTGA